GTCTTCAGTTCCTGTCTTGCTAAAGAACACATGTCTTCAGGGACACATAAGCAGACGTAGACTAGTCAAGCCAGTCTTTTTTTTTTACCATCACCTTCACTGTCTGAAAGCTTCATATATATTTTATTGTGATGTATATTCACTGCGGTAAATTGTCAACCTGCCATGTTCAGCTTCTCTTCCTAGCTTCGAGGCAGAAGTTGACACTTTTAGCTTTTCACATCAAATCCAGAGTGATGACTGAGTACGTAAAAGGTCATGTCCGATGGGAGGCAAACTCCCTCCGGTGACTCTCTGGTGCATATGAATATGCAACAACTGCAACCTTTTAATATGGTTACAGTTATTTCACTTTTGATGTTGTATTTTCTTTAAAACTGTCATTAAAAAAGCTGAGGTGAAAAGTGAAGTGTTTCAGGAGGGAAATACGGCGCTGAACACACAAATACACAGTATTGATGCACGCGTATTGAGGCTTTAACATAAAATCCTCAAAACAAACAGCTGAGGTTTAATATTTCCTCCACGTCTGTTTTTTTTTTTGTTGCGCACTCAAACTATTTGTTGCAGTTAATACAAAATAATAATCCATCTTCTTATACATTAAACATTAGCCTAAAGCTAATATGGTGTTTCAACAGGCTCAGTAGAGCAAATATGATTTCATCAGTTGTTGTTTTGTGTGTGTGTGTTATTTTCTCTTGTACAGCACCACAGGGAGGGGGGAACTCACAGAAGAAATCCAATACTGAAAAGAAAGTGCAACCTGAAAAAAAAAAAAAGAAGGTAAAGACTGCTAAAGCATCATATTAACTCCAGGATAATTTGGGAATATGTTTCACAGAGCAGAGTCTATAATTTCTTCTTTTTTTTTTAACTTGGAAACATGCCCAGAACAAACAGGAAGAATGATTACACTCTGAAAACACTTCACATAGGCCTTCAGAAAACCCTGAGTTTGTACAAACGGTCGTTATGAATCGGAGGAAGGCGAATTATGTGAGGAGAGAATTCAGTCCAACCAGGTCGTCAAACTATGTGAAATGTTCAGACATGGCTAAGTGTGTTTAAGAGCCCCGAGTCCCTGAGCCGTGACCTTCCCTGTAAGACACGGTGTCAACACCTGGTTCAGTTCTCAGTCGTTAAAACTGCAGCGTTTTCACCTCAGGCCACCTTTAAACTTTCAAAAAACGTGTGAGCGTACTCCAGGTAAGAGCGTAAAATGGGTCACAGTCCACACCGAGCTCTCGAAATGTGCTTCCGATTTAAATACTTGTGGAACATTGGAAGAAGATCCCAAAAAAAAGAGAAAAATCCTCAATTTCCAGAGTGTTGAAAACTCAATGTGTTTCCAATCCCTTTAAAACCCTATATTGTTACAGTTAAAGGGGGAAGATTTTCATTGGGCCAATTTCATGACATAATAACTGACCGCCAAGGAGACAGGTTCTCCTTCAGCTGCCAGAGACGGGATCCTCAGCAGGAGCAGCAGATTAAATATTTGGAGACCATCTTCACCTGGTTCCTGTCTGGTAGCAGAAGCTGCGGTGGGTTTCTGTTTACACTTTTGACAACTGTTTTGTAGCTGAAGCTTTGATGTTTTAATCAGTGTCTTCAAAAAATAAAACCTACCTGATATGGAAATGGAGAGAAACAAACAACAGATGGAAAAGAACAAAACTTTAGGAGGAGGAAGCTGTTTATCCTTTGACCCAAGGATTTAGTATAAATATAGTTCATTACTGTGTAATTGAAAAAACTTTTAATAGATCAGGTTGAGAAACTGCTGCATGGACTTTATTAAATGCTTTTTAAGCTCCCGCGGGTCATACAAAATGACTTGGCGGGCCGCATTTGGCCCCCGGGCCTTGAGTTTGACAAGGTAATAAGGCAATCAAACACCTTTTAAGCTCCCGCGGCAGCATTTCGCCCACGGGCCTTGAGTTGGACACTGATGATCTAGGAGGAGAAGGCTTATAAGGCAGCAGAGTAGAGGTTAGAGTTGGAGAGGTTTGAATGACAAGCCAATCACGGGTCAGGAAAGAATGGTTGAGATCTTGTGTGTTCAGGTGACCAGATGGAAGGCAAGACCAGGAGAGCTGGTTTCAGTCTATTTCAGAATGGTGTTGATGGTGAGAGAAATAGAATTGAGATCATTTTTTAAAAAACAGGTTGTAAGGTGCATTACAGTTCGGCCGAGGCGGAAAAATGAACCAGTGGCAAATAGTGATGGGGAGTGTAACGGAGAGTTTAGAGTTGAATGTTCGTCGAAGGGTTGATAACCCCCAGAAAATGACAGAAGTCACACAAAAAATACAGAGAAAATGTTAGGATTACATCAGGTCCGTGACCAGATTTTTTGGAGTTACACACTGATGTATGAAGTTGATCAGCCACACAATGAAGGTAATGAAAAGTGCGGCCACTTCCCTGGGTACCGACAGTAGGTAGGTGTGCAGTTGGAGTGACAGATGGGTTCAATGTAGGGCAGGGCCTAATCAGTGATCTGCTCTGAGTTCTTTTTTTGTTTGCTCCGCTGATGGACAGGCTGGAAGACGAGGTCAGACAGGAGGCTAAAGGTTAAACTGAATTAAGGATGTTTAAGATGGAGCTGCCAGACAAGGAAAGAGGAGGAGATTCATGGGGAGAGATCGTGGAGATAGTTGGGCTAACGCTAACAGTAGAGGAAGCGTTTTAGATATCTCTGGCTCATGATGGAAACCAAACCTTTGTAACAACAACCACAGGTGAGAACTTTTGGTTTAGGAACAAGAATAAGCCGTTGTTGTTGGAGTTCTCTATTCTAGATAAAGGTTTATCGCGTAGGGTTAGAGAAGAAATTGTTTTAGTAAAAGTCTGAATCATGTCCCTGAAGTGTTTATGTTTTCAGGATAAATAAAGAAGCATTTATGCCACGAAAAATGTAACTGCGCTCGTGATAAGATCACAGCATGTGAATCTTTGATATCGAGCTCATTACATTCAAAAAGCAACTATTCTGTCAAATATCTTGCCCCGGGCTCCTACAGCTTGCTGTGCCACACAGAAACATTTAAACCAACTGCCTCGTCCCAAGTTTATTCCAATCTACGTCTAAAATCCTGGACAAACGCAGCGAAATTGTCTGGCATGGTTGGCTCGCCCTGGCGTCATCAGACCGCCTCCCTGATCTCTTTTCAAGAGCTCCGTGCCTGTTGCGTGTCTCTGTTTTCGCTACACAATCAATCACACAAACTGGGATAATAGCTCACATTTGGACAGGCTCTCTTGAAAGGGAAAAAGGGGGAATTCGTGATATTGAGCTCAGAATCAAACTTCTCCCTCAAGCTCGGAGCTCTGTTTCCAGCCCACCTGGCCATTTACCAGAGCCGTGTGTTTTCAATAAAAATATTTACGCACACTATTTATACGGCCCTTTTAAAAGAACTCAGAGGAACTTTACGTGGATATAAAATAATGAGCCACGCTGTGGTATTGAAGCGTCGCACACAGCTGAGCGCTCATTAAAAGCCCATTTTACCAGCTGACTTTTCAGTGTAGATGTAAATGTGAGTTGAGTGTTGTAGAGTTTGGATCAACGTTGTAGTCGCTCTAGTTTTTTGGGAGTTTTACTTTTAAGGTTGTAACATCACCGGCACTGAGACTACAGTATGTGGATGAGGCAATCTGATTAAAGAAACACTAGCTATGTTCCTCACTAGAACAAGACCAGGTACTACAGACAGTTCCACCGGTTCCTTCACCAGGAGCTGCAGATTAAACGGCATTGTGGCACAGATTTAGAGGATTTTTCTTTGTATACTTGATACTGAGTATCAATACTGAAACTCATTTTATATTTTAAAATATTTGTGATGACCTTGAGGGCAGTGTTACAGTATATATAAGTCAAGGGAACCCAACCACCGGTGCGCGGACCGGCGCCAGTCCATAAGTAATTTGTTACTGGGCCGCAGTGAGACACTGAAAAAATGTACTTCAATTTTACTAATTTACTTAACTAACAAAACAACAGGTCATTCAGACACCGATACTAACAGAATAAAGTCTAAAAGAGGTTTGATTTAGAAAATTGAATGATCCTTCAACGACGGCAAGTAAATCAAGTACAAGCCTTTTCATGACTACGTGTTTGAAATATTGCAGAGGTTCCATGACACTCCAAACCAAGCACAAACACTTCATGTCCATGATATTTATTTCATTAAACATGACTATTATCTAAAAAAACGTTTGTGCATGAAAGCAAAGGGGAAAAACTTATTGTTACTTACAAGTACAATTATGTTCTAATTGTACTTCTCTGAACCACTTGACATCTAATCAGGCTATAAGTGGCTCCTGAACCCATGAGTTTGACACCCCTGCTATAACCCCACCAGAATAATGAATTCTTGGGGGTAAAAAAAGAAGGTTATTTAGAGCTTTAGATTTTTGTCTTAATCTTAGTCTCCATGCATGGAATATTAAACTGCAATAGGCACAAGCGCACGCATATGAATGGAATGACAACCATCCAAGCACATGTGTAAATTACTTGCGCTCCCCTGCTGAGATGAAACGCCAAAAGATGAACTTAGCCCATAGAAGTCAATCTGCATAGTCATCAAATTATTCTGGGCTGCTTTATATAGAGGAGTTCCTGGCGCCTGGTTCAAGACCTGACAAACCTCCTCCATCCTGCTGAGCTCATCCTTCATACCTGTCTCTCTAGTGACTCCTGTAAGGATCTGCTGTCTCGAAAAATTCAATACACAAATTACCGAGTCAGCAGCCAGCCTTTGGCAGGTGAGAGGCAGAAATGATATAATCAACTCTGAGACCATCCAACTCCTTCAGCTACTTCATGTTGTGCGCAGAAGATGAAAAATGCTGCGGTAGCAGATTCTTCAGGTCAACATTCATTCTTTCTTAACTGGAAAGCAGCAGCAGCAGATATGTGAAGCTGACCGCAGAGACCGCGTGTCCAAAAATGTGCAACAAGTCAGAAATCAACAAACCTTTGCTGTCGACGCTGTTGGGGACCCCCGAGCTGTAGACACTCTTGATAATGTCCTGATTGGTGGTTTCCTTGGCGACCGACGAGCCTTTGAGCTTACTCTTCGGAGTGTCTCGGGATTTGAGTTTCTTGGCGTGTTTGGTTCCCTTGTAGTGGGCCAGGGCCTGGCTCTGAGAGGAGAGCAAAGAGGGGGAGCAATTAAACACTGGGGAAAGCAGCTGCACAAATGAAACCAAATATGTAAAGTAAAGCAACACATGCATCGGCAATGGAACGGGTCGCCAGGTCCAAGAACATCTCTCATTTTAGCTTTTGCAATACATGGTGGCAGAGTATTTTTCCTGCGTCTGCTGTAGTTTGACTCAGATAAACCTCCCACCACGGAGTTGATGTATGTTCAATGAAAACAAATGTAAAAGGGGGATGAAAGTGAAATAACTTCAGTGACAAAATGAGAGGACTGGATTGCTAGCCAGATACTATAGATTGCAGTATCGGTATCCCATTGGGCGTCACGTCATATTGTCAAGCCTATTGCAAATTACTTCTTATGAGCTGCGAGATGTAAAAGAAGGAATTTAAACAAGGAGCTGAACACTTTTCATTTTTAGGACGATGTCACTTTAGCATGTAGCATTTAGACCAGGGGTTCACCAACCTTTTTGAAACTGAGAGCTACTTCAAGGACACGTACGAATACGAACAGCTACTGACACAGAATTCTTGAACAATGTAATAATCATAATTTATGGCACATTCAATAGTAGACACTCTTCCTACCATTGTCGTTGCCAGTGGAACTGATTCAAAAAGCACAGTAATAGTACAACTGTTGACCCTCTTGTTGACTAGGTTGATTTTTTTTTTAAGGTACCCCAGGGGCACTTTAGGCAGTCCATCAGGGCATCATGTAGGTGACTCCTGATTTAGACCTTGAAGACCTACGTTGCATTTTGATCATCAGATACCAGATATTCCTAATGTACAAATGTTATTAGATGTCCTTAATCTACCTCATTAAATTTGCTTCTAAATACTGCCACTTTTGTTTCAAAAAATTACTTCAGGATAATTTACTGCCTGACTACAATAAGCTGTCAGAAATCACTTAGCCAAAGGTCATGATGGTTTTGCCAGCGCCACCAAAACCATTTATTTGCCTCGGTGGTGCCACTTGTCTGGGCTCTTTTCAAATGATTTAATGAGTTGAAATGAAATGTTTAATTATGAGTCTAATTTCACTAACAGCACATCTGCCTGTGTGACAGGTAAAATGTTTGTTTGGTCCGACGGTGTCGAATCGGAAGTCTGGGCACGTTGTTAGATTCCACCTTCGTGACAGACTCGTGCCGACACACAGACGCGGCACAAATGCAAAGACATTGAGTTGTCCTTGTTCAGCTCAGCACCCCCCCTCGCCCCTCCCCAAACACCGCCTGTGGCAAGAGTGAGGTTTCAGAAGGGGATGCAAGAGGCTCCCGAAATGAATTGGAGTGCCTCGAGCATAAAACATTTGTTAGTATGTGTGACTAAGAAGAAATCATGAGTGTTCAAACTGTTTTCCCCCAGGACTCAGATTTGATGATGTAAAGAACGGTAAATGATAACTCTATTGTGAGATAATTAAGCAACATGGTAAAGGTTAGTCGCGGACAACATATAAACCGATATATAACTAACTCTAAAACAAGCTAAAACAACAAAGCTGAGAAGTAATCACCCAAGTCATTAGTTTTGTAACTGCTAGTTTAACTGTAGTGCAGAATTAGCTTTAAGTTTCTAAAGGGAAGCATAGGAGATGTTCAGGGTCAGCTAAAAAACATGTAAAATGACTTGATAAAGATCCAAAATGACTTTTAAACACATTTTTGGCACATTTTCCCAAGCCATGAAAAATGATTATTATAAAAACAGAATGTAGGTTCTTTAATACACGATAAGTGGCCAGATGTACTTCAGGCCAGATGTATATAATTTACGTGTTATAACAGGGAAAACATTCACTTTGTTCTGGCTTTCAAGATGAACGTGCATCGTATCACCGTGAGGGAAAAAAAAATCCCTCTCTGATTTTATCTTGAAACTCTTGATGGTTTTTTTATCACTGTAGTTAATCTCATTTATTGGTTGTACAAGATGTAGGCCTTGACAACTTTGTGAAACGGGCCAACAAATGTTATGAATACAAGAGGGAAATAATATACGTAAGGTTCCAAACATTCACCGTTGGCAACAGCTGCAGAGTCACCAGCGTTCTGGAATGGCCTCCATCTTCAGGAATCAAACAGTTCTGTGTTCAGGCGTCATGTTTTTTCTGGCAGAAAAAAAAAAAACCCTGATCCTTTCTGGCCCCCATTCATCACACCGTAGGAACTAAAGATATCACTTATTTCTGGCAGGAGATCCAGGTGATTGCAGTAATAACTCATCTTTCATTAGAGTGACGGCGCTGAGAAATGACATGGCTTAGATTAAAACTGTGAAAGAATCGTGGTGGTTGGGGGTGGGCAGAGGGAAGTCGGGGGTTGTCAAGAAATGAAATTTCCAGTCAATCTTTAGGAAAACCTTAAGGTTGTAGAGGATCATACTTTTTCGTGCATGTCATCAGCAGCAACAGAACCAGATGCTAGACCAGTATCATCAGCATCAGCATAGAGCATAAATGTAAATGAACAGTGACTGATTCAAAAATTAAAAGAAAATATAAACAAATTTTCAATTCAATGTTGAATATTAACTAATATGTATTATTATTATAATTACAACATTAAATACAGGTTATTACGTTGAACAGTTGGGGGCACCAGATATCCGCCGTGGACTACCTAAAGTATGTCTGAAAAATCAAACTAGTCAACAAGAGTGTCTGGTAGCCCCCTAAAAATCAAACTAGTCAACAAGAGGGTCAAAATGGGTGAAATGACAATGGTAACAAGAGTGTCTACTATTGTATATACCAGAACTAGTTGTTAGACTGTTCGGGAAGTCTGTATCGCTTTGAAAGTACCCTTGAAGTAGCCCTCAGTTTCAAACAGGTTGGTGACCCCTGGTCTAAAACAAAGCCGGAACATTAAGAAAAAAAGTTGATATTTCCGTTCTCTTCTCTGTACCTCAGGCCTGGTGGGTAACACAAAATGAAAGAAAACATGTCTTTTATGAACAAACAACAATCAGAGAAATTAACTTACTTATGCCAGTTTGAGCCACCAAATAGCGTAGGTGTTGGGGTATTTCAGGGCTCTTTGGTTGAGTCGGCTGGTTCCTATGTCTCAGATTGACTCTGAAAAACCTGGCCTTACCTTTAAAGTTACACATTTGTTCCCACACAGATGTCACTGCTCCACCGTGACTCCTAATGCCTCCTAATCTGCTTCACCTGGCTGCTGATCCACCACACCTGGGTCTCATCAGCTCTGCTGCCCCTCCCACCCCCTCACACTCCTTCTCCTGGTTTCCTCACAGACATTACTCCCTCCTCTCAGACTGTAGCTTTTTCTACTTCTGTTAAACGTCCTTGTGTTGTTGTCCTGCCCCAGTTCCCATCTTTATTCTTTTCTTACACAATATTTGACGAACCAACTCAATCTGCCAAATTCCTGTCTCTAAAAAAGAAGTAAAACTTTAAAAAGGGATTAAACCCCGACATAATAACCATTCTCTTTTTACCATGGGAGCAAATGACACGACCCCCTCAGATTCACAGACCCCTCCCGCCCCACTGTCCCTACATAAGACAACAAACTGCTAGTTAAACTGTAGTACTGTTCCTTCTGTGACATGTTTGTGTGCTACATCCAGTGGTGCGTTCAAGTCGTACACAGATTTTGGAACTTCCACTGTGAAACTTAATCATGGACATATTGTGTATGGGAAAACATGAAACAAAAACACACACATCCATATAAAAATATATGATACATAAATATGAATAAAACTGAAGTGTGTGTGTGTGTGTATATGTGTGTGTTTGATTCATTGATCAGAAAGGCTTAACATGCAGAGACTTAAACACCACAGTCAGACTAATTCTAGTGTCAATGCATGGTTCCCTGTTCCTACACCAGCCGCTGTGACTGAACAGAGAACCAGAGAAGAGGCAGCGTCGTGGCTAACAACACCAGCTTCATGTTCTGTCTGGGAACCTTTCAGATGACCGAGAGGATGAGTTTTTTATGAAATGCCCTTTGTTTTTTTGGGGTGGGGGAAATCCTCGCCTACAATACCAAAAGCAATCAACACCACTGTTGTCAAAGTATCAGCATCTGTATCGAATGCCACCCTGTGTGCGTCATCTGTAAACAGGTAATAAAGACACACATCAGACAGCGTAATGACTCCATCAAGAGATCACAGACCTGAGTCCACTCTACGATCCTGACTCACACACACTCACACACACAAACACACACTCCGTGCCTGCCTGTTTTAAAGTCCAAACATCTGTGAACCATTAGAATCTTTTTTTGTTTTTGTTTTTCCTCTCAGTCCTCAGGATATGGAGTGTGTTTACAAGCTGTTCTCCCACAGAGCAGCACCATTTTTGGTATTCAACAGGGAGACACGGACAGGAACCTGGCTATAACATCATCATCATTGTCATACTCTCCATTATCACTGTCATAATACCTGTCGTCATCATCATTGACTTCATCGTCATCATCACTATAATCATTATCCAACTATTGTTATGGAGAGACGTAGTATGTTGTTAGCTAACCAAATGCTGTATTTGCCCTGATGGATGAGGTGTAGTGATTTATGCACTATTTAATAAGACGTAATACACGGTACACAAAGGAAAATATTAAGAGTTCAAATGTTTCCCACAGTATGCTAGTGTGTGGAGAACATGTTTCTTTCTGGGACACCAGGCTAAGAATGCACAATTTCTTTAGATACCCCCGCCCCCTCCGAGAGTGTGATCCACTTCATGATGTGTGGAGTCTCTCTCTGCTCAGTATGTTGACGGTGTCTGCTGCTGCTGCTGCAGTTCTAAATTAACACCGTGTCAAGGTTTGCAGAATAAAAATCAGCTCTGTGAGTCATGTCTGCTGCTGGAACACTAAAAGTGGAACTGGGTTACAGTGATGAATAAAAAGTGCACACTTCCTGCTCATGTTTGACTCTGGAAACAAATAGATTAAAAAAAATCTGCGTGGACGATGTGGTGAAGGAGAGAACATCCAAAAGCCTCTTCACGCCTTTGTCACGCTCTGTTTATCCAGCCCAAACTCACAAAGAGGTGGAGGATGAGCAGAGGTTGTTTGATTCCACATCACAGACGGTGATAATGAAGTGTTCATGTCTGCAGGACTGGACTTGACTGGACCGCGATCTGAGAAGAGTACAATCCACAGACTTGGTAGAGGAGATGTGTTTAAAAAAATTAAAAAAAAAAAAAGCAGATGGCTCCTCAGGGCAGAGGTCACCAGCCCAGCAACAGCTTGTCTGTTTTCACCTCTAGTTTGCAGAGAGAGAGCAGCAGCAGTTTCTGAATTCCTATTGTAATATCCTGATAGCTAATAATAAATTAATAATTTGAGCTTCATTGATCCCACTCTTAGGGAATCCTTGTGTTAGCAGCAGATCTGCTGCAACAGCCGGCCCCTTCCAGGCGCTAAGTACAGGGGTCCTCTGGGAATCGAGCCCGGGACTACTGCTCTCTACTTCCGAGGCAGGCATGCTAACCGCTTCACTTTGGAACCACTGTTAGCAGAGCACCTTATTTTTATTTATTTTTTTGCTGTGCCATTAATGTATTTTAGTCTTCTCCTCAAACCAACTCTGGGTTAGCTGTTAGCATCTCATGTTTTGACTACATTTGTATTTGATGTATTAAAAGCATACAAATGTTGAAATATAATGTGTTTAATATACTGCTTGTCACTTCATCAGGGAATGGACTTTATTAAATGCTTTTTAAGCTCAAGCGGGCCATACAAGATGACATGACGGGCTGCATTTGGCCCACGGACCTTACGTTTACATTTATACATTTAGCAGACGCTTTCATCCAAAGAGACTTATAAGGTAATGATTAGCAATCAAGCATGTGGTTCCTCTGGAAATCAAACCCAGGAATCTCTGCTTCCGAGGGAGGCACGCTAACTGCTAGCCAAGGTATCATACTACATGTCACGACTGCCGTATCTGGATTCAAATCCAAGACATTTGAGACATTGCCTCTAAGGTAAAGTGCCACCAAAATCCACTCATTCTGATTTATGAATGTTTAACTATTTCAGTGTGTGATTCTGAAGTTCAAATATATGTAGTTTAATAGAACGTTTGATGTGTTTCTAATACATATAAATATACCAGGGGAATGACAAACAGGCTGCACAGCGGGACTACACCCCTCTCTTCTTTGACCTCGCATGGTTTCCTATTATTCCAGGGCTGCAGTTGTGCAGCAGTAAATTAAAAACAACAACATCAGAATTCATACCATATCAAGGTTCGCACACACACACAAAACCCTCTCAAGGATTAGACTTGACTAACGGAGCTCTAAAGGATCATTTAAATCCTCGTTTGATTACAATTAAAATCTCCTTCAAGTGCTGTTTATGAAGTGAATTAAACGTATTATATCACTCAGATGTTCTTCAGACACGCTGCAGATAAAACCCCCCCGGCGGGTTTTTCCTTATCTGAAGAATCACATTTTCACACAGACTTTAACTTTGCAGCCTGCGTCGTATGATTTCTATCAGGCGTCCGTTTGATTCCCAGAGAACGTCTGGAAGAGGGAACATGAAACGCTGCGTTTCAGCGCCTTCCCTCCTGTGACTCCGGCAGAAATCAAATTAAACACACCACAGACTGGTGCTAATGAAGGGAAGATTTTTAATGGTTCTCCTCAGACATATCAATATTCTTTACACCACGTGATTTCATTATCACAATACGCTCCCCGTGTTCATTTGCATACACAGACTCTTTAATCACATGATTTTTATTCGGCAATAATATGCGATAAAACAAAATAACGTTGTTGCAGAGCAGAGGAGGAAATTAACTCTGCAACGGGAACTTTTTTTTTTTTACCCTTGTGCTGCACGGGGGTAACAAACGGCCGTGTTGCAGAGTTGTTTAAAGAGAACTTTCAGTTTCCATATTTCCATGTTTTAGTTTTCTTCCTGTAAATCTAGTTTTGGTAGAAATTTCAACAATTTACTTTAGATCATTTGGAACTATTAATAGGTCAGTGTCAGGCCAGAAAATTCTGACCCTCTGACTAATTATAGTTAGTAAGATGTACTTGACTGATCAATTTTAATTTTTTTTTTCTACCTTTGCTAATCTTTGTTTCTCTTCTTGCCACATTTAGCTGTTTTTGCTTGATTTAGAGGCACCATTCTGTTGTTAGTTTTTTTTTCCCGGGGCTTGAACCCACGACCCTTGATGTATTGGTTCCAAAAACCAATACATCAATCACGAATTAATTATAACAGTATTTTTGAAGGGATACAAAATTTGATGAAAAAATAACTTTTAACTCATCAACAGATGCGTAGGAGCCTGGTTTGGTCAGTGTATTGTACGTGATTCAGTGAAAACGAATGATTCTGAAAACAGAACTCTAATAACACACTTGAACTGATTGGTGAACTGATGGAGCCAGAAGTAGATCAGCGATACAGTGTGAGAGTGCAGTGAAGTAAAATCCTAATTTCTATGGACATTGATTTGGGTAATGATTGGTTTAGAACTTGATTCAAATCAAGTTATTTTCCCCCATAAGAAACAAGAAACTCAGAAAAGAAGAAACTGTATACCAGAAGGCAGCAGAGTTTAGAAGAAGAACTGCCTCCCCACACCCACCCAAGGGTTTTGGGCCAATTTTGGATAAAAGAAACTGTTGAACTGCGTCTGCAGGGCTCTGGCCATCACTCCAATAGAGACCGACAAACTTTTGTTTACTTTCATTCTCTGAGTTCCTCCTCAACTTTTTCCTCCTTCTCCTCAGAATAACTTTGCTCACCTGTGAGTTGAACCTCAGCTGGCAGACGCTGCAGGAGACGTGCTTCCTCTTGGCAGTGGGAGGGAGGCCGAGGGTGTGATGGAGGACAGCTTTCTGTACTGGGTCCATCTGGAAAAACACAGAAGGAGATGCAGAGAGAGGAGAGGAGAGGAGGCCAATTAAAACAGTGGTTAATCCGACCTGTAAATCATCTCCACTCCTCCATCACTCACTGGGCTGTAAAGAGAAAACAGGTCACTCTAAGCTTAGCTTCAATAAAGGCCGACATCCGTCTTCATTACGGAACGTCAACGTAGAATTAATCTGCTCTCACCTGAGGCCCGTGAATGGATGAGGCGTTCAGGTGATTGTGCCGTTTTACGAGGTTTCGACACAGAAGTTTTCAAACAATAATTCCATTCATTTGGGATCTATAGGAATGTTTGATTCAGTGCTTCCTTCCTTAATAAATTTGAACAAGTTATTTGCAGAAAAACCAGGCCCAGATTTGGCCAAAAAGAAGCCAACTGTCTAAATGCCAAGACCGGGCGAGATCTTTTCAACAATGACTTTATTGTCTGAGACAGTGAAACGACCTGAATATGTGCAGACAATGGCAGCCAACGTTCACCATGCTGGCTTGGTTAAATCCCTTACAACGTGTCAAATGGCCCGAGGTTTCCTTAAACAGTCTTCCACCATCGGTCGGTTTTTTAACTTTTGTTCTTATTGAATGTGCGCAAAATCCTTCACACGAGAGTTTATTTACTAGGTCCGTCAATCAATTAACATTTTAATTTGATTAATCGCAGGGTAGCTGTGGGTGAGTCACAACTAATCACGATTAATCATGACCCATTAATCGAAGGGTAGCTGTGGGTTAGTCACAACTAATCACGATTAATCATGATTGGTTATGATCATAATTTATTATAATTAAACTGGAATCAACACATCAACATATTTTAGAACTTTCTGGAGATACAGTACAGGTTGTTCTGATATACAATACTGGTGTGTGTTGAAATGTATTAAAGTTTTTAATCAGAAACTTTGAAGTATTCTAGCTGGCTTTGTTGTTTTTAAAGGTTACACTATATACTTTATATATATATATATATAT